TCTCTCTCTCTCTCTCTCTCTTTCATGATCATGAAACGTTTGTTTAAAAGCGTGCTACGGTTCCCCCAAAATTAATGATTTCGGGCATGCTCGAAGTCCACCGGGCTACCGGCAGAAACCGGTGTTCTAGGTCGGTCGTTGTCTGCGAACAGATGGTGTGCACCGCTGGATTGACCACATTTTGTGATTTTGGGCCTGCTCGGAAGCTACCTTGCAGCCGGTAGAAATCACTGCCCTTGGTCGGCCGGATTCAGGTGGGCCGACCTAATTCGTTTTTTGTTGGTCTGCTCGGATTCTACCAACAACCGACAAACATCACCGTTCCAGTCGGGCGATATCTGCGAACAATAGCGTGCACAGGGTGTTCGATTTCATTGTGTGTGTGTGTTTTGGGTCCATTTGGAGTCTATCGAGCAATCGGCAGCAGTCTCTGTTTTATGTGGTCGTCCTGTGATCTGAGATCGAAGGTGAGGCCAAGTACGTGCATGCACGCATGCACGCACGCACGCACGCACACGCAGACGCACACACGCACACACGCACACACGCAAACACACACACACACACGACACAGACACAGACACAGACACAGACACAGACACAGACACAGACACAGACACAGACACAGACACAGACACAGACGCAGACGCAGACGCAGACGCAGACGCAGACGCAGACGCAGACACAGATACAGACGCAGATCAGAGTGAGGGGGCCGAACGGTCATTCACTGTCCCTGGGTGCGTGGCTGAAGTGGGATTCCGCGGTGCGGATTCGTGTTGTTGTTGTTTGTTGTTGTTTGTTGTTGTTTGTTGTTGTTGTTTGTTGTCGTCGTCCCACCCGCACCCCGCCCCGCGACCCACCCGCGACCCACCCCGCGACCCACCCGCGACCCACCCGCGACCCACCCGCGACCCACCCGCGACCCACCCCGCGACCCACCCCGCGACCCACACGCGACCCACCCCGCGACCCACCCGCGACCCACCCGCCACCCACCCGCGACCCACCCCACGACCCACCCCTCGACCCACCCGCGACCCACCCGCGACCCACCCCGCGACCCGCCCGCGGCCCACCCCGCGACCCACCCGCGACCCACCCGCGACCCACCCCGCGACCCACCCGCGACCCACCCACGACCAACCCCGCGACCCACCCGCGACCCACCTTCGACCCAAACCACGTTCAGGGTACAAACCAACATTTTTGGCGCCTGCGGCGGGCTTTTTTGCATTCCTTCCAGGTGGAGAGCCCGCGACCCACCCCGCGACCAACTCGCGACCAACCCGCGACCCAAACCACGTTCAGGGGGGTACAAACCACATTTTTCGGCGCCTGCGGCAGGCATCTTTTGCATTCGTTCTAGGTAGAGAAACCGCGGCCCACCCGCGACCACGTTCAGGGTACAATCAAGATTTTTCGGCGCCTGCGGCGGGCATCTTTTGCATTCGTTCCCGGTGGAGAACCCGCGGCCAACCCGCGACCCAAACCACGTTCAGTGTACAAACCAATTTTTTCGGCGCCTGCGGCGGGCTGCTTTTGCAGGAGGACGAGGAAGAGGAGGAGGAGGAGGAGGAGGAGGAGGAGGAAGGGGACGACGACGACGTCGACGACGACGAAGAGGAGGAGGGGGGAGGATCGGGAGGGGGGGAAGAGGAGGAGGACGAGGAGGAACATGACGACAATGGGAGGACGATGATGGAAGGACGAGGGGGGAGAGGGAGGACGAGGAAGAAGAGGAGGCGGAGGAGGAGGACGAGGTGGAGGAGGAGGACGACGATGACGATGAGGACGAGGACGAGGACGAGGAAGAGGAGGAGGAGGAAGAGGAGAGGAGGAGGAGGAGGAGGAGGAGGAGGAAGAGGAGGAGGAAGAGGAAGAGGAGGAGGAGGAGGAGGAGAGCGCCATCGACAGGGAAGGTGGGGGCCACGAGGTCCGCCGGCTTGACGACGCCCGCGCCGCCCGCGCCCGCCCCCTCACTCTTATCCGCAATTGCGGGGTGCTACGTACAGATACAGACACAGACACAGACACAGACACAGACACAGACACACCCAGACATACACACACACACACACACACACGCACGCACGCGCACACAGAGACAGAGACGCAGAGACGCAGAGACACAGAGACGCAGAGACGCAGAGACGCAGAGACGCAGAGACGCAGAGGCGCACGCGCGCACGCGCGCACACGCACACGCACACGCACACGCACATCCACACGCACACGCACACGCACATCCACACGCAAACCCACATGCACACGCACATCCACATCCACACATCCACACACCCGCACACGCACACGCACACGCACATCCACATCCACATCCACACACCCACCCACACACACACAAAAACACACGCGCACACGCGCACGCACGCACGCACGCACGCACGCACGCACTCACGCACACGCGCACACGCGCAGACACACACAGTTTTGATTCGCGGGTCGAGAGCGCACCTCTTCCGCCGCGCACACACACACACACAAACACACACGCACACACAAACACCCAAACACCCACCCACACACACACGCACAGACACACGCACACACTCGCACGCACAACACAACACACACACACATTACACACAACACACACACAACACACACACAACACCCACACACACACACTGACACACACACACACACTCACCACACACGCGGGCTCGGTCGCGCGCGCACACGCGCGCACGCCCGCATGCACGCACGCACGCACGCTGCGTTGGTGAGGCCTGTGGAGCTGCCGGGAGCTGTTGGCTCCAATATTCGGGCCTGGGTTTCCTCGGTTGCGCTGCGGGCGCCTTTTCCAGCGTTGGGCTTCTTCGTTTCCAGGGTTGGGGTTTGCGTTTCTCGTTTCGCGCTTTCTGGTGCTTGGTCCGAACTGTTTAGGGTTGCGGCGCCGACCGATCCCGCCCGCTGCATGCGCGTCACCGCTTCGGTGCCGGATTCTTTTGTTCGTGTGGTGTTGTTGCGGTTGTTATTGTGATGTCGCGTTTGGGTCCAAAGAACAGTTTCCATATGCGTATGTCGATTCCACCAGACAGCATGATACAATGTTTTTTCCTAGCTCGCAGACGCAGGCGGCTGCCCTGATTCAGGACCCTCTCAGGAGCAATTCGGGACCCTCTAAGAGCCCACTCGAAAGGCTTCGTGAGAGCTTCGCAAGAGCCGGTCGGCAGCCTGCCGAGCGCCGCTCGGAGCCCTCTCAGGACCTTCTCGGGGCCTTGCCTGGAGCATCTAAGAAACCTCTCAGGACGAGGAGGAGGAGGAGGAGGAACAAGAAGAGTAATTAGAAGCATACTACGACCGTTAATACGAAGAAGAATTAGCATAATACTAGTAATTCGACTAAGCCAAAAAGAAGATAATCATCTTCTTCTAACGCGAATTAGCAGAAACTCCGTCACCCCATCTGTCGTCCACGGTCAACCACATTGCTATATGGTGGTGGTTTCTCATACAATGTCCCATTTTGTGGGACATCCTAGGACTCAGCATCGCTTGGTCGTCCCATGGGCAGCCATGTCGCTGTAAGGGTGCTTTGCTGATATGATGTGTTTCAATGGGTGTGGCCTGCAGTGCTGGAAACCAAGGGCTCCAAGACGGCACACGAGGCCCCCAGGAGAGCCACAGAAGGGGTCCACCAGGGCTCACGAAATGGCTTTTCAGTCCTTCAAGCGGGTTCTGGGAAGAGTTTTGGTGGGCGTTGGGGTTGGTTTGGGCGGGATTTGCACCCCAGCAGTCCACGCGGCTAGCGCCCAAGCGCCCATGACCACGTGGGAATTATTGCAACGTGGTGGTCTGGGCCGTCAAGGCTCCTGCAGCCCAGTCCTGATAGTGCTAGCGTATTCGTAAGCCTTGGAACATCCCATCAAATGATGATTGCAATGTCGTGCATACATATGTAGTGCGACTCGCTTTCAAACTGAGACTCTCGCCAGGGCGCCCTTTACCTTACTTCTAAATGCTTCCAGCAGCTATACGCATTGACAGTGGTTATTTCTCACACTGCATCTCTCCCTCCAGCGCCTGGCACATGCGGTTAATACAGCGTCCAACATGCATACAGGTAAATGATGACACTATGTTAGGATTCGGCTTTCCGCAGCGCAAATCCACCTTACACTGCGTCAACGCGCGCGTGTATGGACTACGACCCGTGCTCAATTCGAAACGGTGACATGCATGGACGTAGGTAATCAAAAAGGGGTATCGTTGAATCTTTCTTTGGCATCTATGGTTCCACGCTGGCTTCTCACAGCTATAGGGATAGAAGGCGGATCCTTTTCAACACGGAGTTCCCGCCTGATTGCCAAGCATAGTGTGCTATCGTTGTTTAAGGGGTAATGAAGCAGATTGCTTGTCATAAATCATGGTGAAGACGTTGGGAGTTGTGTGTGTGTGGTTGTGTGTGTGTGTGTTTGCGTGCTGCTGGGTTTGTTCTGGTCACCCTCCCTTCCTCCTCTTCCCTCTCTTCCTCCTCCTCCTCATTCTCCCACCCGTGTTCCCCCTCTCCCTCTTTGTTCCTCCTCCGCCACTCCTCCGTGTCCATCCCCTCCCTCTCGTGTTGCTCTCCTCCTCCATCCCTTCGCGCTAGCCATCCACCGCTCCTCATCATCCTCCTCTGCCTCTTTCCTCTCTCTTCCCTCCTTCCGCCCTCCCCCCCATTCTTTCTCCTAGTTCGCTTCCCGCTCCACTTCCGCCTCCTCCACCCCCGCACAGTCGAACGAGGATGGAAGTGGCGGAGAGGAGGAGGAGTTGAGTTGAGTTGGGCGTTCCCCGAAGCGGTCTCTGAGCCCCCTGACGATATTCTGAAAGCTAGCGTTCAGACACTCTGTTCTTGCAAAGGCAGTACGGGAGGAGGAGGAGGATGAGGAGGAGGAGGGACATACCAAGAAAAAGGAGGACGAGGAGGAGGCGAAGAGGAGGGGGCGCATCTTCAAACATATGGCCCCTGTCCCTCTCCCGCGTGGGCGCGAGAGGAGCGCCGCCGCTGCGGCGGGACCACCCCCTGGCTGGCGGCCGCCGTGCGGTGCGGGGAAGTGGCCTGCGGCGCAGGGGAGGCGACGATCGCCGCCTTTCTGCTCCTTCTCCCCCCTCCATCCGCGAAGTTCTCGCGACAAATGCGCGCGGCGCGAAGGGCATCTCGAACACGACCCACCCTCCATTCGGGAAGCCCTCGCAGACATTCGAGACGAATGCGGGCGGCGCTCAGGTGAGAGTCGCATTGGAACAACAACAACAACCCACCTCTCTGCAAACTGTCAAGGCGAGTGCGCGCGGCGCTAAGGCGAGACCCTGATGCTGATAACCGCCCGCCCTCCGTCCGCGAAGCTCGTGTGCACTCTGAGCTTCAGGATCGTGCGTGGTGGGGAAGTCTCAGGCGAAAGGCCTGGCCCGCCCCAGTTACCGACCCGTCTCGGGATGCGACAGGCAGGAGTCACGATGAGGAAGATGGATGGGGGAGGAGGGCCGATGGCGAAACGCAGAGGGAGGAGGGCAGAGAGGCTCGAGAGATTTCGGCTGGACGAGGGGCACGCGAGGCAGCGGCGGCCCTGCTCCTCCTGCTCCTCCTGCTCCTCCCCCTCCTCCCCGTCGTCATGCCTCCCGCTTTTGCTTCGTTCCTATTCCTGGCCCCTTTCCTCCTTCGTTCCTCCTCCTCCTCCTCCTCCTCTTCCGACCCCCTCGACTCTCCACCCTCCTTCCTCCTCCCGCTCCTCATCCTCCCACCTCGCCTCCATCCAGAGCGAGGTCTCAGGACGGGCGAACTCCTAGATGTCCTATCGCTCCTCCAACCCCCATTCCTTGCTGGACGCGGGCGCTCCTCCCCTCCCCTCGATAGGCAGGCAGGCAGGCAGGCAGGAGGGAGGAAGGCAGAAGGAGAAAGAGGAGGAGGAGGAGGAGGAGGAGGAGGAGGAGGAGGAGGAGGAGGAGGAGGAGGAGGAGGAGGAGGAGGAGGAGGAGGAGGAGGAGGAGGAGGAGGAGGAGGAGGAGGAGGAGGAGGAGGAGGAGGAGGAGGAGGAGGAGGAGGAGGAGGAGGAGGAGGAGGAGGAGGAGGAGGAGGAGGAGAGGAGGAGGAGGAGGAGGAGGAGGAGGAGGAGGAGGAGGAGGAGGAGGAGGAGGAGGAGGAGGGAGGAGGAGGAGGAGGAGGAGCAGGAGGAACAGGGTGAACAGCAACGGTGCAGCGACAGAAGCAGGGGCCGCAGCGGGAACAGCAGCGGGAGCAGCAGCAGGCCCCCCCCCCCCGCCCCGGGACGGCCAGGGTCGCGCGTGGCAGGAGCAGTCGCGAGGGCTTCGCGTTCGCAGTACGGGTCCTGTCGGTGGGAGTGAGGGCCCCCCGCTCATGGGGGGCCCAACGAAAATGCACCACCGCCACGTCGATTCCTCCTCTCTCCTCTTTCCAGCGAGAGGGAGGTGGGGAGGGAGGTGGTGGTGGTGTACATTTTTGGACCCCCCATTTCGGTTGGAGTGAGGCCCCCCCGCTCACGCGAGCCCGTCTCAGGTCGCAGACGTGTTGTCTGTTTGGGTGCGAGCTAGCGTCGCGGCGTTTATCACATTGCCTCTCTGCTTATGTGTTTCTTTTTGTCATTCGGGTCATGACGATGCTGATGCCGATTATGATGCTGCGGCCGATGATGATGCTGAGTATTCTTTGTACTATTATCAGTCTTATGACCTGTATTAATTCTCGTACCCTTAGCACTATCATTATTCCCAACCCTCCTTGGTTGGGTATTCGTTTTGAATAGAGCAGTGTGGTCTCCACTTCCTCCTTCCTCCTTCCCGTCCCGTCTCCCTTTTGCCTCCTCCTGTCTTGCCTGCGGAAAAGCTGCGATCTGTGAAACTGTCGCCACTTTCGAGGCCTGCTGGGGGGCCCAGCACAGTGACGCCACGGGCAGACCCAAATTCGACCTCGCCATCCCTGCGATCCGCGAGCCTGTCGCCACTTTCGAGGCCTGCTGGGGGGCTCAGCACAGTGACGCCACGGGCAGACCCAAATTAGACCCCGCCATCCCTGGGGGGGGCTGCGATCTGTGAAATTGTCGCCACTTTCGAGGCCTGCTGGGGGGCCCAGCACAGTGACGCCACGGGCATACCCAAATTAGACCTCGCCATCCCTGGGGGGGGGCTGCGATCTGTGAAATTGTCGCCACTTTCGAGGCCTGCTGGGGGGGCCCAGCACAGTGACGCCACGGGCAGACCCAAATTTGACCTCGCCATCCCTGGGGGGGCTGCGATCTGTGAAACTGTCGCCACGGTCGAGGCCTGCTGGGGGGGCCCAGCACAGTGACGCCACGGGCAGACCCAAATTCGACCTCGCCATCCTTGAGGGGCTGCGATCTGTGAAATTGTCGCCGCTTTCGAGGCCTGCTGGGGGGGCCCAGCACAGTGACGCCACGGGCAGACCCAAATTCGACCTCGCCATCCCTGGGGGGGCTGCGATCCGCGAACCTGTCGCCACTTTCGAGGCCTGCTGAGGGGCCAGGCACAGTGACGCCACGGGCAGACTCAAATTAGACCTCGCCATCCCTGGGGGGCTGCGATCTGTGAATCTGTCGCCACTTTCGAGGCCGGCTGGGGGGCCCAGCACAGTGACGCCACGGGCAGACTCAAATTCGACCACGCCATCCCTGGGGGGCTGCGATCTGCGAAAACTGTCGCCACTTTCGAGGCCTGCTGGGGGGCCCAGCACAGTGACGCCACTGGCAGACCCAAATTAGACCTCGCCATCCCTGGGGGGGGCTGCGATCTGTGAAACTGTCGCCACTTTCGAGGCCTGCTGGGGGGCCCAGCACAGTGACGCCACGGGCAGACCCAAATTAGATCTCGCCATCCCTGGATGGGGGGGCCGCGATCTGCGAAATTGTCGCCACTTTCGAGGCCTGCTGGGGGCGCCCAGCACAGTGACGCCACGGGCAGACCCAAATTCGACATCGCTATCCCTGGGGGGGCTGCGATCTGCGAATTTGTCGCCACTTTCGAGGCCTGCTGGGGGGCCCAGCACAGTGACGCCTCGCGCGGACCCAAATTAGACCTCGCCATCCATGAGGGGGCTGCGATCTGTGAATCTGTCGCCACTGTCGAGGCCTGCTGGGGGGCCCAGCACAGTGACGCCACGCGCGGACCCAAATTAGACCTCGCCATCCCTGGGGGGTTGCGATCTGTGAAACTGTCGACAATTTCGAGGCCTGCTGGGGGGCCCAGCACAGTGACGCCACGCGCGGATCCAAATTCGACCTCTCCATCCCTGGGGGGCCGCGACGATCTGCGAAACTGTAGCCACTGTCGATGCCTGTTGGGGGGCCCAGCACAGTGACGCCACATGCAGATCCAACTTAGACCTCGCCATCCCTGGGGGGCTGCGATCTGCGAAGCTGTCGCCACTTTCGAGGCCTGCTGGGGGGCCCAGCACAGTGACGCCACGGGCAGACCCAAATTCGACCACGCCATCCCTGGGGGGGCTGCGATCTGTGAAACTGTCGCCACTTGCGAGGCCTGCTGGGGGGCCCAGCACAGTGACGCCACGGGCAGACCCAAATTTGACCTCGCCATCCCTTGGGGTGCTGCGATCTGTGAAACTGTCGCCGCTTTCGAGGCCTGCTGGGGGGCCCAGCACAGTGACGCCACGCGCGGACCCAAATTAGACCTCGCCATCCCTGGGGGGGGCTGCGATCTGCGAAACCGTCGCCGCTTTCGATGGTTGCTGGTGGGTCCTGCGGAGTGAGGCACCGCGCGGACTTGAGCGGGACCTCGCCGTCCTTGGGGGGGGGGGGGGGGGGGGCTGCGATACGCGACATGTCGCCATTTTCGAGGGCTGCTGGTGGGTCCTGCGGAGCGAGGCGCCGCGCGGGCCTGAGCGGGACCTCGCCGTCCTTGGGGGGTTGCGATCTGCGAAATGGTCGCCACTTTCGAGGGCTGCTGGTAGGTCCTGCGGAGTGAGGCACCGCACGGATCTGAGCGGGACCTCGCCGTCCTTGGGGGGTTGTGATCTGCGAAAGTGTCGCCATTTTCGAGGGCTGCTGGTGGGTCCAGCGGAGCGAGGCACCAGGCATATCTGAGCGGGACATCGCAATCCCTGGGGGGTTGCGAGCCTCACGAATGCCGCTTGCAGAAGTATATGCGCCCATGCCACGTCATCACCTCCGTATAACGTATCCCAAGCTACGCATGCCCCGTGTTGCGCAGGGGTTGGGTACGTCGCCAGGGTACTTGTTCATAACGTAGCTGTTATTCGTACTAGTTGTAGTCATGCTATAGTTACGGATGTTATTAGTACTATCCGCACCAGTACTATCATTATTCGTATAGGTATTTGCATGTTCAGCAGCAGTAGTAGCAGTAGTAGTAGTAGTAGTAGTAGTAGTAGTAGTAGTAGTAGTAGTAGTAGTAGTAGTAGTAGTAGTAGTAGTAGTAGTAGTAGTGTAGTAGTAGTAGTAGAGTAGGAGTAGTAGAAAGTAGAGTAGGAGTAGGCGTAAGCTAGCCAGCTCGAGCGAGTCAAGCATGGCATGCCCAGTCCCACCCGCCCTCCCACAACATAAGAAGCAAAGCTGGCACAACTGGGGGCCGAAGTCACACCGGCCAGCCGGTTTGGTACAGCTGATGCGGCCGCGATGGCGGTTGCCGACGGGAACTGGCGAGCGCGTGTTGAATGCCGCGCACGCATTGCCAGACGAGTCGAGAATGGCCCGGTACACCGCAGGAAGCCAGAGGTGGCCGGAGGAAGCCCGACGGTCTGACAGGACACCCCAAAGCATTTTTGTGAAAAATCATTGGGTTTTTGATGTTTTTATGTTGAAATGCTTGCAAACACACGGTGTTCGGTAGGATTCTGACATGAACGCGCGAGTGTGCTCTTTGTGGTATTTTTTGCACAGGATTCGCGGCCTGGGTGCATGACAGAGCATCGCGAGTGCACCGCGCGATGACGTGAAATCGCTGGATTTGACCGAATTCTTAAGATTCCTATGGTTTTCCTATGATTTCAGCAAGAGAGCCCGGGCGGGAAAATTGTACAATTTTTGTGAAAAAACATCGGGTTTTTGATGTTTTTATGTTGAAATGCTTGCAAACACACGGTGTTCGGTAGGATTCTGACATGAACGCGCGCGTGTGCTCTTTGTGTATTTTTTGCAATGGATTATCGCCGTGGACGACAGGACGTCCATGTCGAGAGGAAAAAATAAGAAAAATGTTGATTTTGTATTGTTTTTTACAGGTTAGGATGGGACCACCCGGATGCGGCCCCTATCTGCCGGCCTGAGGGGGGAGTAGGAGTATATTCTAATAAGGAATAAGGATAGGAGTAGGAGTAGTCAAGTCAAGCTAGCCAGCTCGAGCGAGTCAAGCATGGCATGCCCAGTCCCACCCGCCCTCCCACAACATAAGAAGCAAAGCTGGCACAACTGGGGGCCGAAGTCACACCGGCCAGCCGGTTTGGTACAGCTGATGCGGCCGCGATGGCGGTTGCCGACGGGAACTGGCGAGCGCGTGTTGAATGCCGCGCACGCATTGCCAGACGAGTCGAGAATGGCCCGGTACACCGCAGGAAGCCAGAGGTGGCCGGAGGAAGCCCGACGGTCTGACAGGACACCCCAAAGCATTTTTGTGAAAAAGCATTGGGTTTTTGATGTTTTTATGTTGAAATGCTTGCAAACACACGGTGTTCGGTAGGATTCTGACATGAACGCGCGAGTGTGCTCTTTGTAGTATTTTTTTGCACAGGATTCGCGGCCTGGGTGCATGACAGAGCATCGCGAGTGCACCGCGCGATGACGTGAAATCGCTGGATTTGACAGAATTCTTAAGATTCCTATGGTTTTCCTATGATTTCAGCAAGAGAGCCCGGGCGGGAAATTTGTACAATTTTTGTGAAAAGCATTGGGTTTTTGATGTTTTTATGTTGAAATGCTTGCAAACACACGGTGTTCGGTAGGATTCTGACATGAACGCGCGCGTGTGCTCTTTGTGTTTTTTTTTTTGCAATGGATTATCGCCGTGGACGACAGGACGTCCATGTCGAGAGGAAAAAAATAAGAAAAATGTTGATTTTGTATTGTTTTTTACAGGTTAGGATGGGACCACCCGGATGCGGCCCCTATCTGCCGGCCTGAGGGGGGAGTAGGAGTATATTCTAATAAGGAATAAGGATAGAGTAGTAGTAGTAGTAGTAGTAGTAGTAGTAGTAGAGTAGTAGTAGTAGTAGTAGTAGTAGTAGTAGTAGTAGTAGTAGTAGTAGTAGTAGTAGTAGTAGTAGTAGTAGTAGTAGTAGTAGTAGTAGTAGTAGTAGTAGTAGTAGTTATTAGTAGTAGTAGTAGTAGTAGTAGTAGTGTAGTAGTAGTCGTAGTAGTAGTAGTAGTAGTAGTAGTAGTAGTAGTAGTAGTAGTAGTAGTAGTAGTAGTAGTAGGGTAGTAGTAGTAGTAGGGAGTAGTAGGAGTAGTAGGAGTAGTAGGAGTAGTAGTAGTAGTAGTAGTAGTAGTAGTAGTAGTAGTAGTAGTAGTAGTAGTAGTAGTAGTAGTACTAGTAGTAGTAGTAGTAGTAGCACCCGTAGTAGTACCCGTAGTAGTAGTAGGAGAAATAGTAGTAGTTTCAATGCTATGGCTATGGTGACGTTGTCAGTGCGGCTGGTGTTGGTGGTGGTGTTGTTGTTGTTGTTGCTGTTGTTATTAGTGCTCGTCTTCGTCATCGTCTGTGGTTAACTGGTATCTCACGTGCGATTTGTCTCAGTAGTAAGATTCGCCTTCTTGTTAGTATTAGTCGTAGTGTTATTATCGTTCGACTTTCTATGTGTATGCTTGGTATTCGTACTAGTCGCATTACCATGAGTCCCGATACTAAGCATGAGTATGGTAGCAGTATCAGTCGTCGTATTAGTAGTAGTAGTGCAGTAGTAGTAGTAGTAGTAGTAGTAGTAGTAGTAGTAGTGGTAGTGGTAGTAGTAGTAGTAGTAGTAGTAGTAGCAGTAGTAGTAGTAGTAGTAGTGGTAGTAGTGGTAGTAGTTGTAGTACTAGTAGTGGTATTAGTCGTAGTAGTAGTAGTAGTAGTAGTAGTAGTAGTAGTAGTAGTAGTAGTAGTAGTAGTAGTAGTAGTAGTAGTAGTAGTAGTGGTAGTGGTAGTAGTAGTAGTAGTGGTAGTAGTAATAGTAGTAGTAGTTTAGTAGTAGTAGTAGTAGTAGTACGAGTAGTAGTAGCAGTAGCAGTAGTAGTAGTAGTAGTAGTAGGTAGTAGTACTTAATCGTATAGTCGAGTAGTGTAGAACTCGTAGTAGTAGTAGTAGTAGTAGTAGTAGTAGTAGTTAGTCGTAGTCGTAGTCGTAGTCGTAGTCGTAGTCGTAGTAGTAGTAGTAGTTGTAAGCCGTAGTAGTAGTAGTAGTAGTAGTAGTAGTAGTAGTAGTAGTAGTAGTAGTAGTAGTAGTAGTAGTAGTAGTAGTAGTAGTAGTAGTAGTAGTAGTAGTAGTCGTAGTCGTAGTCGTAGTAGTATTAGTAGTAGTAGTAGTAGAAGTAGTAGTAGTAGTAGTAGTAGTAGTAGTAGTAATCGTGGTAGTCGTAGTAGTAGTAATAGTCGTAGTACTAGTCGTAGTAGCAGTTGTAGTAGTAGTAGTAGTAGTCGTCGTCGTCGTCGTCGTCGTTGTAGTAGTCGTAGTAGTAGAAGTAGTAGAAGTAGTAGTAGTAGTAGTAGTAGTAGTAGTAGTAGTAGTAGTAGTAGTAGTAGTAGTAGCAGCAGCAGTAGTAGTAGTAGTAGTAGTAGTAGGGCTACGTGTAGTAATACCTATCATTATCCCAATAGTCATACTGCTGTTAATGGTGTTACTTATGATGTATTCTTAAAAGCATCAATCGTCTTACTAACTATTCGTATTGCTCTTCTTATTCTTATTGACATTATTTTGCTCACAGCGGGGGGGGGGCGGTGGGGCCTTGCCCTGGGGGTGTCCGCGCGGCCTCCTGGTAGGCCTCATGGCATCGGGGGGTCCTGGGGGTGGGGGCCCTTGGGCCCAGAACCCGTTGCCGAGTGGCCCAACGGTGTCACCATTTTGACTTGCGCAGGAATGCGCAGTTAAACACAAACCATGCGCCTGCGGTGTTCTCCTGCTTGTGATCGAAGTGCGTACATGATGCGTGTGAGGGGGTGGGGGCGCCTCACTCCAATGCGCGTCTGCAGAGGCGACGGCAGATGTTTGCCGAGTCTCCTTCTCGGAAGCGGCAGAAGCAGCAGCGGGGACAGTGGCAGCAGCACTCCCCTCGGCGTGGCGCCCTCGGAGCGCAGCACCGGGAGCAGCAGCAGCAGCAGCAGCAGCAGCAGCAGCAGCAGCAGCAGCAGCAGCAGCAGGAGCCGCCGCGAGGCCAGCGGCCGCCGCCCCGCTGCCCCTGCGCGACCTCGCCGCCACCCTGAGCGCGGGGTCCGGTCCTGGACGCTGGCGCCGCAGCGGCGCCAGCCCCGGCAGCGGCTGCGGGGGCGCTCCCGCGTCCCACCGCAGCGGCGCCGTCGCCGGCGGCGGCTGCGGGGACGCTCTTGCGTCCCACCGCAGTGGCGCTGGCGCAGGCGGCAGCTGCTGGGGCGCTCTCGCGTCGCACCGCAGCGGCGCCGGCGCCGGCGGCAGCTGCTGGGGCGCTCTTGCGTCCCACCGCAGCGGAGATCGCAGCGGCGCCGTCGTCAGCGGCAGCTGCGGGGGCGCTCTTGCGTCCCATCGCAGCGGCGCCGTTGCCGGCGGCAGCTGCGAGGGCGCTCTCGCGTCCCACCGCAGTGGCGCCAACGCCGCCGTCAGCTGCGTGGGGGCTCTGGCAGTTGCGGCATTCGTGTCGCCCCCGTGAGCCAGCCGATACCCAAAGGTGTCAAAGCCCTTGGGTGCACGGACCCGGCGAGCTTGGTCACTCTTTCCAGTGAGCGATCGAAGTGGGATGAAGAAAGCGCACGCTCCGCGTTATGGTGACTGTGCGTGCGGATGGGGGCTTCCTTGCTGCACCGCGATAATTTAAGATCCGCAGAGCGATGTTGAGTCCGTCACCATTGCTGCCGTCATCAACTTGTCATCGTTCACTTCTTGTGCAGTGCCACCGCTATCATCTGTCTCCATCTCACAAACGCCAGAAGTCATTGTGCGTTCTGGTCGACAGAGCGCTTTGATCAACAGTTCCGATAGAACGCATACCGTGCATGCACGACTGATGCCAACGCTCTCTTGACTCAACGCGGTGTCTGCTGCTTCGTTGTTTACATGTTGTTACTTGTTGTCCTGTGGTCCGCACTGCTACTTGTCTTGCCAACCGACTACTGCTGCCCAGTGGTTCTCGTGGCAACTCTGCCCAGCAGCCCACGCCGCCACACACGTCAAGCGGCAGTTTCTTGCACATCTCACCCGTCGCCTCGATCGTGAGAGCTTGCCATGCGCGTCTCAGGTGTTTACAGAAGTGTCCCCCAAGGTGTCCCCAGGATCCAGAGCCATTCTGGAGCCTCTGGGCCTCGTAATTACGTGTGTTGACGCCTGGAGACGACAGGGCTGCTGTGGCAGACTCGGGACACTTCGGGCCAGGACAAGATATGTCAACGCCTGAGCGTCGTGCGATCGCGAGGACAAGGACGCGGACAAGGACGATTGACAATTGGGGCGGCATCCTCGCTAGTCGTGGGCCCGCGACAGCCGGTTTTTGCGCAGGGAGAGCGAGTCCGATTGGGTGGAGAAGCAGGAGGAGGAGGAGGAGGCGGAGGAGGAGGAGGCGGAGGAGGAGGAGGAGGAGGAGGAGGAGGAAGAGGAGGAAGGAGGAGGAGCAGGAGGAGGAGGAGGAAGAGGAGGGGGAATGGATATGGAGTCTTGTCCAGGCTTGCCGATGTGCAAGCGAGGACCCGAGGGGTAGGAAGGGGGGGACCGGGAGCAGGAGGATAGGGTTTCACATTTTGTCGGCGTAGTGCGGGCCTCGTCCGACTGCGCTGGCGTGCGAGTTGCGAGTTGCGAGTTGCGAGTTGCGAGATGGAGATGGAGGGGAAGGAGAAGGAGGAGGAGGAAGAGGAGGAGGAGGAGGCGGAGGAGATGGAGGAGGAGATGGAGGATGAGGATATGGAGGATGAGGAGGAGATGGAGGAGGAGATGGAGGAGGAGATGGAGGAGGAGGAGGGAGGAGGAGGAGGAGGAGGAGGAGGAGGAGGAGGAGAAGGAGAACATGGAGGAACAGGCGGTGGGCCACGCCCGAGCCCGTCAGCCCTGCCCCGCGCTCGGCGCGCGCGCGCGCGGGCAGGGGCCGCGCGCCACGGAGGGCCCCTCTCAAAGGTGGCGAGGGCGCGCTCTGGAGCTGCTGCGCTCCACTTTCGGGAGGGGGGAGGAGGGACGAGGGAGGGAGGGAGGGAGGGGGGGAGGAGGAGGAGGAGGAGGAGGAGGAGGAGGAGGAGGAGGAGGAGGAGGAGGAGGAGGAGGAGGAGGGCGAGGGAGGGGGGGGAGGAGGACGAGAAGGAGGAGGAGGAGGAGGAGGAGGAGGGATGAGTAGGATAGGGATGGACGGAGGGAGGGAGGGAGGGAGGGAGGGAGGGTGGAGGAGGAGGAGGAGAAGGAGAGATGAGGAGGAGGAGGAGGAAGAGGAGGGAGGAGGGAGGGGCAATGACGGAGGAGTGAGAAGGGGAGGGGCGAGGGAGGAGGGAGGAGGGAGGAGGGAGTGAAGGATGAGGGAGGAGGGGGGGCGAGGGAGGAGGGGGATGATCAGTGCTAACCCAAGACGCACCTACGATGTTGCAAAACGCACTTTCTCCCAGTTCCGTCTTCGTGGGTCTCCACAAGAATTCATGTTATGTGCAGGAAGTGTCCCATTGAAAGACAACCTTCTCAGAATCCTCAAACATGCCCGAACATTATGTCTGGGACTGCGAACCAAGGTGACTGGTACGTTCTGACGGTCCTACATCTTGCCAGAACGCCCCTACTTGGATTTCTGCACCGCGAGCCAGCGTGACTGTTGCGTCCTGACAATGTTAAATTGCGCCAGAACGCCATAGCTGGGACTTCGACTTGATGATCCCTCAAACATGCTGCGGGCTTTCAAGACGGGTGCGCACGGCCCCAAGGCGAGAGCCACATTTTGACGTTACCGTTCTCTATCCGTGACGTTATTGCAAATTGTGCGCGGCGCTCCAGCGTTTGCCACATGTTGAAAAGGGCCCGCCCTCTATCTTTGAAGTCGTTGCATTTGAAAGACGAATGTTCGCAGCGCGAAGGCGAAAGCAACATTTGAAAGGGGCCTGTCCTCCATCTTTGACATGGCTGCTAACGTTTAAGGCGAATGCGCGCGGCGCGAAGGCGAGAGCAACATTTTGAAATCCACACGACCTCCATGTTTGAAACTGTTGCACACTTGAAGCTTCAGGATCATGCGTGGTGAGGAGTTCTCAGGCGAAACGCCTGGCCCGCCGCGCCGACACGTCTAGGGGTGCGACAGGGAGGAGATATTTGTCGGAGGAGGATGAGGGGCACGAGAAGGCGGCGGATGAGCGGGAGCGCGACTCGTGAGTTCGCCCGCTCTTTGCAGGGAGGAGTGGGTTTCGCGTGCTGTTCGGCGGAGCTGGCACCGCACGCCTCCAACTGGGGCAGGGAGCCGAAGGCTGCGTTCCCTCGCAGTTCACGTGGCGCTTGGCCGTCATGGCTCACGCGTGCGGTTCAGGACCAATGCCTGTTCCAGTGTCAGCGTTCTTCTGGCATGTGCGGCCCTGGGGGCCGCACCACCCGCGGCGTCGAACACATGTGCCGCAGGCTATTGCTTTCCCCCGCTTCCCGAGTCCCCCCCCAAGCAGGAGAACGACAACCGTTTGGGAAAGAAGGGGCATTCGTGGATACACCCACCAAGGGAAATTCGAACGCACGACTACCGAGGATGGACGCCCCACCCCCTCCTCGGTGTATCACCGAGTTGTGCCCACAATGTTTCGTCCAGTCGGAAGTCCCATCAACGTCGGGGACTGGTTCGCCATGTCCATTCCAGTGGCGTCGGAAGGGGTCAGATGGGCGAGGGCATTGAAACACACGTCAAACGGCTTTACCAAGAACCTCCCTCCCAGCATTCTTCAGATTTGGGTTTGCCGAACTCGTCGAGTGAATTTGTCGAACGAACGTTCCAGGAAGTCATTTACGGATTTGTGAATTGACTTTCCAGACAGCCCATGCGCTACGGACAGATGGTTTATACGCCAGGACGCCTGGCCACCCGAGGCGTATACTCGGGCGAGTTCCCCCCTTACGTGTACGTATGAAGATCAGCACATTTGATTATGGAACCGAACTTTTATGGCGTCGCATGCCGCAGAGCATTCGATTGGTTTGGCAGTGGCTTTTCGCTGACATCGGCGATCGGTTTTTTGTGTCTAAGCGTGCTATCGTGTTGGCCAGCAGCCTCGGCGTACTACAGAAACTTGCATGCTTGGCCTTCGCATATTGAATCGTCCGGCGATGTGTTTCCGTTATCGCTTCAAGTGGCCAATCGTGTCCAGAATTCGAAACCAGCAGGATGTATGTATGGTAGGCGCGTTCGGTATGATGTATTATTCGCTTTGCTGTTTTGTTTCTCAGTGGCATTATTCCTCGAAACATGTGTCTTACTTGAATCGTGGTTTCACTGCGCCCTGTCAAAATGAGATCGCAACTCCCAACCATCCTGTGCTGAGATGGGTGCTCGCTTGAAATCCGCAGCGTCCCGCGTTCCACTCCTCAGTCCCCCCCCTCCTCCCTCGCCCAGTCCTGTCCTCTGCCCTTTGTCATCATTGTAATCATCGGCTCCGTCCTAGTCATTGTCGCCACCGTCAGGCGGCGCAACCATTGGTGGAACAACCGTTTGTGGCGCACATCGATGGAGGATCAATTTTGCGAAGCAGCAGTCGGCATCTTGTCCGCATCACCTCTGTGGCTTGGGCGCTGACATTTAAACAAGAATCAAGAATCCCAGCCACTGATCTACTACTTTGTACCGACCTTGCATGGCATCGTTTCTTGCGGCGCTGGCCAAACCGGCAGTCGAAGGCGGCATGGGAGCCATTGTGGTCCAACGAGTATCTATATTGAAGACGTCCGCACCCTTCTCACGACCCCCATCGAGAACGTCCAGTGCTACGATGAATTCCAGAAAGGCGCCAGCCCAGAGGATATGGATCTTGCATTTCAGGACCTGGGCTGCATGAAGGAGCCAGCCTGGAAGAAAGAAGCATCGACGATATCGTCCTCTGGTCAGGACTGCGCGATATCACACAAATATTTCTCCCCTCCGTGTCTGTCGAAGCCGACATTGGAATGTGGAGGTCTCGGGTGGGACCATACAGTGGAGGCCCGTGCCAAGAAACACCCTGCTTGCCTCCAGGGTGCCCTTGGTTTCTGGGGTTTCGATGGTTTTGCTCTGGGAAGCCCGACGTTCCCACACCAGAAATGCATGGACGTCTTGGGGTCTCAGGGTTGGGTTTCTGGTGGAGGGTTTCCTTTGGAAGGGCTCCTACTGTAACTACACGCGCCTACATCAGCTCGCGACCACCCGTAGACGCGCTAACGGTGTGTTAGTTAACGGCGAAGTAGGACAACCAATTGTAGGAAGGCGTGGTTGTGGCTGACCAATTGTAGGATCGCGTGGTTCGTGTTTTCCTGCAACTCGCTGTGTCGTTTTCGTTCGATACATTCGTATATTTGAGATGTAGGAAACGGTGTTTCGTGATTTCCCACATGCTGTTTTGCGTGAGCTCGGTGTCACAAAAACAAGATTCCCAACCGCACCGCTAATGACGCACCCCGTCAGCGCGGCCTTGGACCACCGAGGCAACTCCCGGACCCGGCCTGGGCTGGCGCACGTTCCCACGA